GAAACTTGAACGCGGGAAGCGTGAGTTTTGTTTATGAAGTCTATATTATTTTTAGCGGTTTTATCTTTCCTGCCTTCTAGCGTACACCTACGTGTTGGCAACCGTTCAAAGAAAGTGTAAAATTGGATTTCGCGTTCGACTCAATGTTGCCCAGGATTCGAATTTCGGTGAACCTTGAATTTTATAAATTTTCCGCGGATTATTTGCCTTGATCGAGTCTATTCATTATTAAAATCGCGAGATATTTTACATGTTGTAAAAGTTTTATTTTTTAAGCTACCAATGTCCGATGTAATTTATTTTATTGTTCTTATTTATTCATTGACCCAGTCAAGTCAAATCCATAATCAATCAGACCCAGATAGGGTTATATTTTTTTTTAACAAAAGTTATTGTTATCTTAATTATTTTTTACTTTACTTTAGAATTGCCTTTAGTAAGACGTAAAATTTGAAGTATCATCAAATTGTTGAGAAAAAAAGTAAAATTTACCAAAGTTATTTGGAATAGCATTCCCACCTTTTCCGTGAAAAAAAAAACGCTTCTGGAAACCGTCTATTTAAGTGTTCAACTGAATTGTAAAGTTTTATTGCTGCAATTACTTGTTGGTTTCTGATTAGAGGTTTGAATCGCGAAAAAATTAGGTACCTACTTAAGGAAATTAAACATGCACAGAAAAAAAATTAAATTAAGTTGTGAGTAGGTATACTAAGTACTTATATACCTAAGTAATATATTATGCCACTAATTTTTTGTTTATAATGTGCATATAAATACCGAATATAATTCCAGTAAATACAAATATGAGAATCTAAAAGATATTGGTAGGTAAATATGTAGGTACGTAAGTATTTTCAGAACTGAAACAGTACCTGTTACAAACACTTAGTAAATTATTGAATACATTCAACAATGACCACTAAAATAGTTTAAATTAACGGTTTTAAAACTTTTTTCGCTACTAGGGCATGGCTCGGAAGTTATGTCATACTTATATTGCAAGGTTTGCTTTAGAAGTATTCGTTACTTTAAATGATTTCACACTGGTTTAAGTTACAATGCATTTAACTTTAACTTATTAAAATGTGACATTCGAGGTCAAAGTAAAATAATCATATTTTTCGGGTATAGTGTGTAGTGTAAATGTATGTGTAGTTATAAAAATGCGGGTTTTTGACACAATGTATGAATTATACGTTGATGCGATCCTCATACATCCACGTAGAGTTTCGCTGAAACATAACGCGTGCATTGCGCGCGAGTCGCGGGCGGTAACGTAATCCGGCGCACTATACAAGGCGGTTGCTTCTATTTCAGCGTGGCGACGCCCGCACCCGTCCGCATTTGGCACATACCGCGCGCGTATTTTTAGACCAGCCTCCTTACAAGCAGTCTTTTATCTTCGACGTTTCCGAACTTAACATCCACAAGGATTCCCGGAACACAATTATCCTACACACTATATGCCCGCTGGGCCCGTCACTGGCACTCTCACGGCACAGCACTTACGTCGCACGGGTGGAAGACGGTCACTCAGTCACGGCACTGGTTCTTCGACCGGCAGCACAGCGACGTTGGAATGTGGAGTCCGCGGCGACCGGGGCGGCTCTGGCCGGCGGCGGGCGGCCCAGCGTCCGCGCGCGCTCGCCCCCCCTGCGCCCGCCTCTATATTTAGCGCCGGTCATTTTTGAGCCGACGATTGCGAGCCAGCTCCGGTTTCTAAAGGGAAATTGACTGTCCTGCCCGGCCCGCGTCCACGCCTGCAGGTGCAGCGGCCACAGGAGAAAGGAATTCCACTGGGATCAGTTGTTGTTGGACTCAAAGGTCAAACAATATAGTGCTGCTGCCATCATGCTGATCCAAGCTTGCAATAGTCCCAAAAAGTATTTTGTGGTTAGAAGTCCGAAAACACATCCGTGCTTAATGTTTGTGGAAATAATTTGCCGAAAGCCTACGCAAACTAAACAATAGATACATATCCGGATTTTCGTGATCTATAAAATATGATCTACTGGTGCACATAGGATAGACGAAGTGCAAGGAGTTAATAAAATTAATTGCTGTGTAATGCAGTTTTAGGTCGACAGTGTTTATGTGTGTTTACGTGACTTACAGGTGTGTGAGTATGAGCCGACGCCGACCTGTTCGTCAATGTAAGACGAGCGGAGAGGAGCAGGCCTGACTAAAAGCTTGCCGAGAGAATCGCTACATTTTTATATTTTGCTAAGCTTCGGGAGATTGTCATTTGGTGGGGAGTTCGATTGTTTCTATGCATTTATTACGAACGCTTCAGGCGCCTCGCAACGCGAATGTGTAGTCCACGCGCATAGAATGGAGTGCGTGCAGACATTAATCATACTTATCACACGAAAAGTTAATTGATATTTCTATATTCTAGTTTTCACAAGCGCTGTCTCTAAATAAGAATACCGAATGGTCCTAAGAGGTACTGGATGCGATCCTTGGGTCAAAGAACTCATATAATATTGGTTTTATTAGTACCTATTACTTAAGCGCTTAGTAACACCAATCTTAATCGGAGCGCACGTAATGTAGATACTTTGAAAGATACGTTCCATACGAAGGATAAGCTTTTGGAAATTAACGAATCCTGGTAGGAAGGCCTAGGAGCCTACGAACAAACAAAAATTGTTCTTGTAACATGACGTGTTATAATCCATATTATAGGTACTGGTCTCAACTCTTAGGTAAAGGAATGAGGTAAGTAGGTAAAATATAAAGCAAATACGATAAAGCATTTATTTGGTGAAATGAAAGATACAACCCACGAAAATTAAAAACAAGTTTGCTAATATTAGTTAATGAAAGCATGTTAAACAATAAAATCAAAATGTAATGGATCGGCAAACGAGCAGGCGAATTACTTGATGGTAAGCAATCAGTGCCGGTAATGGACACCCGCAACTGAGGAGTTACGAGTGCGCTGCCGACCTTTTGGGGATTAGGGATTTGGAGATTTTGGGTTTGGGTAGGGGAAGGATTGGGCCTCCGGTAACCTCACTCACACGGCGAAATGCAACGCTGTGGTTGTTTTACGCCGGTTTACTGTGAGGCCGTTGTATCACTCCGGTCGAGCCGACCCATTCATGCCGAAGCATAGCTCTCCCACATTTAATGTGGGAGAGCTATGCTTCCTTACATGATATACATTAACCATCGCAAAAAAGCAAAATGCAAGTACAAAGAAAAAAATTCAATATGATGGTATATAAAGGTAACCTCGCCATATTGGTGCCACGCCTTATACATTAATAAGTGCATTGTGCCCTAAGTAGGTATGTATTACTTATACATACTTAGGGCAATACACCAAACAACCAACAAATCAAATGTCACGCGTACGCTGTTATACGAGTAGCAGCGGTAAGACCCCTCTTTGAGGAGTGGCTTGAGATAGTATAGCGTCCTCACTTTTCGCCTGATGCAGATGCTTACCCGGCACGGCTGCTTCGGTAGGTTACTGTTTCGGATTCTGCAGGAGAATATAGGCGTACGGCGAATATCCACCCCTACGTTGTTGAGACACCTGCGGCCCGGACTAAGCGTTTTGCCTCGTCATTTATACCGCGTACATCGTGGGATTGGAACAGTTTGCCGGCTGCAGTCTTTCCGTCCGAATACAATTTAGGTGTCTTCAAGGCTAGAATGAATAGGCTCTTAATAAACTAGTGCGCCTTACCATCAACGATTTCATCACTGCTTAACATCAGGTGGGATCGCAGTCTAGCACTGGTTTATTGCAAGTAAAAAAAAAAGCCTTTATAGTTACATAATATAATAACGATTTACGGCACCAGCGGCTTCGCCCTAGTTGCCCAGATGAAAAGTAGGTATCTTATGTGTAATTACTGACTTCCTCAGTACCAAAATTCATTCAATTCCAAGAAATGGTTATTACGTGAAAGTAGTAACAAGCATCCATCCATACACAGCCGGGTTTGCAGAGCAAGCGCGATAAATTATCGCGATCTCGGCCTGGAGTATGAGAAGCAACAGGGGGTTTTTAGTCAGTAAAATCCTGACACCCCCTTTCGTCTCACCCTGGGCGAGAGAAGTCATTTGATGATTCTCAAAAAAAAAAACCATCTAACCATACTTAAAAACAGATCTAGAAATCAGTCTATCCCCAGCATACATAACTGTGTATGCTGTATTAACAAAATAGAAAAATCAACATAAGGAAAGGAATAAAAAAAAATCTTAGAAAATTTTGACATGGGGAAGAAGAAGATAGGTACCTAAGAATCTATTTGATGAATGACTCAGAACTTTCCCTGGTTCCTTCAGAGCAAACAAGTGCCTTCAAACCATCAAGTTTTTCTTAAACCCCTATTCATTTTTAAATAATTATAGCGTGATTGATATACCTACATGGTGGTCTAAATGTCAGCTTTCTAGTGCAAACGGTGACTGAGATTTTCCGCGGACGGACAGACCGACAGATATGGTGAAACTATGGGTTCCTAGTTAACTACGGAACCATTAAAATGCCGCCGGTGAGTCCAGTGATATCACTGGTTCAACCAACGAGTACCTAGGTATTCGTTGTAAAAGTCAAATTACCTACCTACCTAAAGTATACCAAAGCCCGGTAAACTAATTACCTACTTGTGATTCCTCATGACACCTGTGGTGTGGTAGGTATCCACAGGATTTTTGATTCCTTTTAATATCGTGTTACCAGTTTGCTCGTTCGCTGTCATACCCTATTTCATTTTTAATACATGGTCAAGTCAGTCAGTAGGTAGAGGAGGCTGTAGGTTGTTGAATAAAAATGGGGTAAATTAGAAAAAAACCACCTCAATAGAGGAGAGCATTTGGCATACGTAAAGAAAATAAAAAAAATCTTAATAATAACAGGTTTGGTTTTGAAATAGACTTCTGTAATCTGTATAATTTTACGTCAAACCAAACGCGATTGTACTTGCTTCGGCAGTACATATACTAAAATTGGAACGATACAGAGAAGATTAGCATGGAACCAAACGCGATTGTCTGAGGTTACATTTGTCAATGTCAAAGTTTTTGATGAGGTTATGTTTACGTTTGTGTTTTGATCAACAAAATGTAAATAAGAATCATTTATAGAAAATAAAATTAGCAAATAAATAAAATCTAAATATAATTGAGCAAACGCTTCACAATGACCTCAATAGATAATATAAAAGATACTTCAACGCCAAAACGCCGTCGAATGGGCACTGGAAGAATATTTCGATCAAGTTTACAAAAAAACAAACCAAACAATGATCTACTGATGGGTTTTAGCCCAGTAATGATTCCCAAACATAGTCAAGCTGAGAACAGCACAACAGACAGATGTGATTCCCCGCTTTTGCCATGCAATCAAGTAGAATTTCGAAGTATTTGTGATTCGGAAAATAATAGTTCCATTTGTGATATTCCATGTTCCCCAGATGTTTTACCGGCTTCAATTGAAAACGAATGGGAGTCATTAAATATATGTACTAGTAATATAAATGAAATTGATGAAATAAGTAAGACGGAAGACAGAAATAATCAGGCATTGCCGGAACTTATAGAAGAGATTTCAGATGACATGTTCCAATCGAAATTGGAACAATCTCACATTAAAGAGATTGATAAGAAGTTCACAGATAATATTGAAAAGAGTTTTGACATGGTAAATCAATCTATTAGTAATTTTGATGAAGTTATGAAGAGCAAAAGTCTATTATTTGAAACTAGAGATTCATTCCTTCTCGATGTTAAGGAAGATCCTACACAGAACATACCTAATCAGAATATCAAGAATAATGATGTCAAATTAGATAATACTTTTTATGGTTTGCCAATGATTGCTAAAGGTCTGTTTAAAACATACAGGAATATAGAGAAATTTTATGGTAAGTCACTCAAGTCTTATGACTATTTAAATCAAAAAATATGTTTGAACTGCATACTTATCGTTCAATATTATAATTTAGAATGGCAAGAAGAATGCTTGAACTTAGAGGCGGTGCGTGAGAGAAGAAACTTGATCTATGCCTTGCCGACAAGTGGAGGCAAGACCCTTGTAGCTGAGGTGCTCATGCTGAGGGAAGTACTCAACAGGAAGAAGAATGCTTTATTTATACTGCCTTTTGTGGCTATTGTACAGGAAAAGGTAAAAACTTTATTGTTCGAATAGAAACTATTGTGAGATATTTGAAGTTAGGTGAAATAATAGCCTCAGGCGCTTAAACCTCCCTCCCTTACCAATCTCTGTCTCTGAATAACCAATCTTTGATTTATTTATTGTTTTCGGCTTAATCACGTAATAATTTGACGAGATACTCGACTAGTTTCAAGCCATGCTAGAGGCCCATATTCATGAGCAGCATTCCGCGACACGCGACTCGGCGATTCGAGTAGCAGCGAGACAGTCGCCGAGTCACGTGATCATTTTGAATGAATCACGAAAGTTATAATAAAAACCAATCTTTGAATCCACATTCCTGAAATACCAGCAACACACGCGTAACCTTAACTTCTTTTTACCATCAGGTGATCTGTATGCTCATCTACCGTATTATTCTATAAAAAAAAAATCGGTTATTATTTTAGATCTGGGCATTATCAACATTTGCAGTTCAACTAGACTTTTTAGTTGAAGAATATGCAGCAGGCAAAGGTCACATACCGCCTAAAAAGAGACGCAAAAAGAACAGCATATACATAGCAACTATTGAAAAAGGCCTGGCCTTAGTCAGGAGTTTGATTGAACTAGATAGACTGCATGAAATTGGCCTTATAGTGGTGAGTAAGATTTTTTTCTTTGTTCTAGACTTTTACTACAATTACTTGAAGATTCTGGTTGGTCCTTGTGAGTAGGTAAAAACGGTGGTTGAATGGGGTCCTACCTGGCAGTGAATAGTTGACCACAAATTAAATCGAGTCTTGTTTTCTTTTCAATGTTATAGGTAGACGAACTTCATTTGATTGGCGAGAGTGGTCGCGGTGGAACATTAGAAACATTATTAACAACTGTTATCTTCACCAACAGTAAGTTTTGATACAATGTAATGTACTTAAACAATAAGTATGGCATACTTCAATCTGATTTTAAACTTAAATTTTTTGTAATTTAGTTGAAAATTGATTGAAGAAGAAAATTAAACTTATGATATTTTTGTCATCTGCCAGAGGACATACAGATTGTCGGTATGAGCGCTACAATAGGCAATCTACACGAGATCGCTCAGTTCCTCCGAGCCGACGTGTTCCAGCGTGAGTTCCGCCCAGTGGAGCTGACGGAGTACGTCAAGTTGGGGGATATGCTGCACAAGATCGTGTGGGGACCCGAGGGCGTTGAGATTGTACCGGATAGAGCGCTTTCTTATAATGTAAGTACATAATACATTCCTTTTAAAAATACCTATGTTTTTGGTATTATTAATTTATTACGAAACACTGAATCATAAGCATTCTCTTTTTTGGCATATTTGTAATTTTTTTATGTGTGTGTCGGCAACCCGGCGGATTGATTACCTGATGGTATGCAATCAGCGCCGTCCTTGGACACCCGCAACGGCGGAGTGACGAGTGCGTTGACGTGTACTTTTGGGGATTAGGGATTTGGAGATTTAGGGATTGGCATTGGGCCTCCGCTAACCTCACTCATACGGCGAAACAACGCTTTTAATAATTAAGTAGGTAGGTACCTATAATGGCTTTGTGCCATAGTAGGTTTTACATATTTCTCTTGTACCCAGTTACCCAAATAATAGCGTAGATTACTAGTACTTACCTAGTCAATTTCAATATTTTTTATGAAATGTTTAAAACGAAGTTTTTCGATGAATTTTACGAAATAGTACGTTGTGATTGTGACGTCATATTTTTTACGTCAAATCAAATCAAATCAAATAATTTATTGCAATCCATAATGTCAAATACAGGTGGTAGTAAAAAAAAAAAAAAATATTAGATACAATTACGGACCCTGTCGGGCACAGCAATTTTTTGTTTTAAACAAAAAAAATGTAAAAGAGAGAAAGAGCGCTTCATTAACACAGCTACATATAATTTTCCACCCTAATAACTATATTTTTATATTTTAATTCATTCACTTCTATTAATATTTTTATGTATTTATATGTTTCCATTTATTTACTTATTCTATTAATAATGTATATGCAGGTCTATCTGTACATTTATTATTTATTTAATTATATTTAGTATCGCTTATTTAGTATGTACAATTATAATATATATTATTATTTTATTATTATGTAATTCAATTATTAAGTATTGTATATTATGTCATTTTGATCAGTGAGTATTTTTTATGTCATTTTGTAATTTAATTATTAAGTATTGTTTATGTCATTTTACTTATTAAGATAATCTGTTATTCATAATTGTGTTTTACCTATTAATATTTATTTATCTGTAAGATATTCTTGTACTGTGTAATAGCTTTTTTTAATTAAGTATTGCTTTAGTTTATTTAGAAATATACTGGTTTTTTCTTGCTGTTTTATGTCTTCAGGTAGTTTATTATATATTTTTATTGACATTGAATAGGGACTAGATGAATGTAATTTAAGGCGGGAGGGGGGCAAATTTAGTCTATTTTTATGGCGCAACGAATAATTTGTTTGTATGTCTCCCCGTGTGCTGTAAGAATCTGGATATTTACGGACGAGTTTACATAATTCCAAGACATAAATACCAACTAAGGTGAGAATCTTGTGTTTCTGAAAGTGAGGCTTGCAGCTATCTGTTGGTTCTATATTGGTAATTATTCGTATTAGCTTTTTTTGGAGGGTAAATAGGGAGGGAGCATCTGTGCTATTTCCCCATAAGATGATGCCATAATTAAACCAAGCATGAGCATACGCGTAGTATGTGGCTAGTGCGGTTTGTAGGTTTGTAGTCTTTTTTATTTCGCGGAGAGCATATGAAAACTTTGAAATTTTTGATTTTACTGTCTGTATATGTGTTTTCCAGTTTATATGAGTGTCTATTGTTAAACCTAGGAGTGTGAAATTGTTAACTGTTTCTAATTTATGTTGATTAAACGTAAAATCTATATTTATTTGTTTTTTCTGCCAGGGGTGGAACGCTATTAATTTGGTTTTGGTAAAATTTATTTCGAGATTATGGTCACTCATCCAGTTTACAGTTTTTCCGAGAATAGTCTCAAGTTTTTCGTTTAAATTGGCATTACTTTGGCAAGAAGTCAGGATCGAGATATCGTCCGCAAAAAGTACACATGGCCCGTCTATGGTTTTGGGGAGGTCATTTATATATATTAGGAAAAGGAGGCAGCCTATAACACTTCCCTGTGGAATTGAAGCGTGTATTGCTTTAACATCAGATCTAATGATCTGTATTTCCTTTGTTTCTTCATTGTAATATTCAATCTCAACTAGTTGCTCTCTATCCTTTAAATATGATGCGAACCAGTCATGAGCTTTCCCGCGTATTCCTATTCCGTAGAGTTTATTCAATAATATTTTAAATTGTACTTTGTCGTAGGCCTTGGTCATGTCGAGTAATATCCCTACTGCATATTGTTTGTTATTTATAATATTAATTGCTTCTTGGATGTATTTAAAAACAGCTAGCGTTGTAGATCTGTTTTTGCGAAATCCATTTTGGCAATCATCGAAAATCTTATATTTTTCACAAAAGGAGTATACACGATCACACATTGCTCTTTCGAAGATTTTGGATGCTGTAGGAAGAAGGGAAATTGGTCTATAGTTGCTTGGGTCTGTTTTTGCGTTCTTTTTATGGATAGGTTTTATTAAAGCTTTTTTTAGTTGGTTGGGGAAAGCGCCCTCCTCGAAAGATTGATTTATTAATTTATAGAACGGTAAGGTTAGTTCATCAGCGCACTGTCTGAACAGAGTCGGTGGGAGTTCGTCTATGCCGTGACTGTTTTTATTTTTAAGGTTCTTTAAAATCTGGTTTACTTCGTATCCGTCGACCGGTGTAAGAAACATGGTATTTTCAGTAGGATTCATCACTGATGTTTCTCTCTGTACACTGCCGGGTGTGTGGGTAGTATTTTCCCCGATGGATGCAAAAAAGTTATTGAAAACGTTAGCTACTTGTTTAGGTTCACTTACTAGATTTGTTGTTTGTAGTGTTATATTTTGTTTGTCTTTTTTGGTTTTTTTGTTTGTCCGTTCCTTTACAATATTCCACTTTTTAACTTTATTTGATGATTTATTCATTTTGTTTATGTAATGTATTCGTTTTGCCGCTGTTACAGATTTTTTTAAGATTTTTTCATATTTTTTATAGTATTTCGTAAATATTGAATTATTAATTTTAGACGAAAAAACTTTTAGTAGTCTTTTATTTTTACAAGATTGTTTAATACCAACAGTTAGCCAGGAATTATTGCGTTTTGTTTTTAGTTTAAGTCTACGTTTAGGGATACATGCATCTAAGATATCTATCAGAGTTTTATGGAACGACTGATAGTTCTCATCAACATTTTTATTCAGCTGTATAATCTCATCCCAGTTTAGTGTCTTTAGTTTGGATTTAAAATTCTGAATACTACTTCTGTGAAATAGTCTTTTATTAGCAAACCAAACGGATTGCTTACTTTTTTGTTCAAGCATCATATGCAATGTTGTTCCGCAGTGGTCTGAAAAACCCAATTCTTCTACCGTCGTGTACATTTTGTTATTGTTAAAGTTTGTAAAAATCAAATCTAAGCATGTTGACGTGGTTTGTGAGATACGCGTAGGTTCTTTTATATGTTGTACAAATTTAAACTCTAGCATGAGATCAATCAATTGGTTTGTTTTTATGCTATTTTCTAAGATATTAATATTAAGATCTCCCCCTATTATTACGTTAAGTTTTTGGTATTTATTGTTTATATATTGCAATATTTGTTTAAGCTGACTAACAAAAATTTCTTCCTCTCTTCTGTTCCAGTACATAGTGACTATTAACAGATTTTGCTTTGGTAGCTTACATGCACATACTTCTATACAATAATCAATTGTCATATCTCTAATATCAAAACACTCTATACATTCTACACTTTCCTCTAAAATAATACACACTCCGCCACCACTTCGGGAGCGGCGGCAATACGATGCTGCAGTCTTATATCCACTAAAATGCACTATTTCTAATTTGTCTTTTGTGAGCCAGGTCTCACACATGCATATTGCTTTGTAGATGGGTTGATCGTTGATGAAAGCCTCTAGAAGGTGTTGCTTGTTGTAAATGCTTTGAACGTTTTGGAAAAAAATGTTAAATTGTTGGTCTGGGGTTTCGAAAAATACGATCGTCGTTATCTTCATTTATAATGTGTTGAGTTTGGTTCTGTTCATCATTTACTTGTTGGATTTTAGTGTATATGTCGGCTTTTTCCTTCTGTATTTCTGTTCTTTTTCCATCTATAAACAACTGATTGTTTCTTATTATTGCATAAAATCCTTTTTTTCGTGCTTTCAGCATTTCTTCACGCATTTCCTTTCTTTCCAATCTTGCGTTTACATCTAAAAATTCAGATAAGAACAATCTTGTTCCTTTGAGACAGTGTTTATTTTCTACAATGTATTTAGCCATTCTCTTACTAATCAGTTCTATTACTAGAGGTCGGTTTTGATTATAGTTTCTGCCTAGCCTATATGTTTCTTCTATATACCCTGTAAGGTCAATATTTAGTTTTTCACGACATAGGTCAATTAATCTATATTGTTGGTCATAATCTGGCTCTTTATAATGTTCAGGAAAACCGTAGAGTACTATTTTCTTGCAGTTGCTCTCAGTACAAGTCAAGTGTTTTGCCGTTTTTTGGTTGTTTAAGCCTTTAATCTCATTTCTCAGTTTCTCGTTTTCTATGTTAAGTTTTTCAATTTTCTTGTTTATTATTTCTATATCTTCTAGTCTTTGCTCGTTTTCCTTAAAACGTACGTCAAATAGCATAGTTATTTCTTTTGAATTAACTTAAAAAAATACGAATAATTTAATTATTTAATCTATATTACGCATATTTTGATGGTTTAATAATAAAATGAAAGGTTTTTGACCGAAAAGACTAGGTACCTATTCAATTTTGTTATTTTTACTTAAAGTATTTACTTATTCCAGTACTCGGCAGCAGCAACATCCCTCGACCCTGATCTCATCGGTGGCTTGGTGTCGGAAGTGGTGCCTAGAGGCTCTGTACTCGTATTTTGTCCAACGAAACGTAATTGCGAGAATGTCACCACCTTACTATGCAAGCTACAGAGACGGTTAGTATACTAGTAATAGATTATTTAATTCACGTAATTGTTGATAGGAGTTTAGAGGGGACCAAAGCAAAAGTAAAAAGTAAAAAGTCAAAAATCATTTATTCCAATTAGACCCTTGTAGGCACTTTTGAACGTCAGTAGATTGTGTGAAGGCAGGGCCGGACTTAGGGAAAGGATGTCGCAATAGGGCGCCAAGATCTAGAGTTGAATTCTCCTGCCACTCCATGGTGCTGGTTGTGTTTTTGTTTATTTGGTCCCCTTTTTATACTTTTTTACATGTTCAATTGTTTTTATAGCTTAAGTATTTTTCAATACTTTATACGCCTGTTTCGTTTGTTAAAAAAGACGAAATTCTTGATATACTTAAATTTACTTGTGTTCAGCAAAACACTTACACTTGATATTGCTTCTCTTAATTGGGCGCTACAATATCTTAGCCTTTACGTCGGCACTGTGTAAATGTAGTGGACAGGACAGGAAGGTCTGGAAAAAAGAAACGCATGTTAAACGCGAGCTATTGTGCCGATCCGAAGTCAATTATGATTAGAACACGAATGAAAGTACAAAGTAAAAGTAAAAGTAAAAAAACAAAAGCAATTGTAATTTGTTGTTAGGTTTAAAGATTTTTTTAATGATTTCAGTGAAATGGTGTCCCACAAAGCAGCTGAACGGCAAGCACTGGAAAGTGCTTTAAGAGCTGAGGGGGCAAACTCCGATCTTGCACAAGCAGTGCGATATGGCATCGCTTACCATCACGCGGGCCTTGCAAGCGACGAGCGTTCGCTGCTAGAACAAGCTTATAGGTAAAGAAAGGAAATATAATAGAGAATATGCCATAGAAGTTTTTTTCTTTTAGTTTTTTTTATTTAGAAAGTTAAAAATTAAGAAATAATTATAATTATAATTTTATTATCTTTTAAGAATCAGTAGCTAAGTAAGTACGTAATTTAATTTTGTAACATTGAATGATGTTGTGGTAATTTTAGTGATTCGAGTGTATTTTTTAATTGGAGAACAAAATATGATCTAGTTGTTACTAGCTTTTCTCGCGCAGTTTCACTTGCTGCTCTGATCCTACATATATTTATAATAGTAATATAAGTATAGATTTTTTACTGTCGTAAAAAAAGGTACCTAAGTTAATATCTTTGCCCCTTTAGGGCTGGTACAATATCAGTATTATGTTGTACATCAACACTGGCGGCCGGGGTGAACCTGCCAGCTCAGCGTGTCATTATCCGCGCGCCGCTGGTTGGGAGGGACTTCCTCACGCTGGGAGCCTACCGGCAGATGGTGGGCAGGGCCGGTCGGGCGGGCGTCTGTGACATGGGTGAATATAATGACCATTTAACCCAAGCTATATTAATTAAGTTCTTGGCTTATCACGTATTTTTTTAAGTATTTGCTTTAATACTCCAGTCTTACAGAATGTTGTTAGTGCGTCAATGAATCAAACGACAACCGTTCGTTTTGTGTTTCAAATATTCATATTCATATTTATTTATTTGCATAAGTACCATAATGTTACAAAGATGTAAAGTAAGAAGAAACGCGTTGAAACAAACAAACAAACAAACTTCAAAGCTTTATTATACAAGTATAAGTAGGTATTGTATAGTATTGTATTGTATAGATTAGAAACGCATGACAGATAAGTAAATGTAGATATATATGTTATCAGGTGAGAGTATAGTGATATGTGGTGCAAGCGTTTGGCCAAAGCTACAGACCGTGCTACGCGGGGGCCTGGCGGCGGCTCGCAGCGCTCTGCGGCGTGGGGCCCAGGGGCCCGGCTGTCTACCCGGCCTGCTATTGAGCGGTGCAGCTTTACGCCTGGCCTGTACTCGCGCGCGCATGCGGGAGTTCCTGGCCTGCACGCTACTAGCAGTCACTGGTGATGATTCTTGCAGGTAGGTACGGCACTAATTGTACAGCGTGTATGAGGCTTTTCTATTTTTTGCTTTCTGCAGCTGATAAATGAATTTTCAACTTAATTGCATTGTGATTGATAGAAATTAATAAGTATAATCCTAAGCTTAACCCTTAACAATTAAGCAGTTATTTTGTGTTTAGAATGCCATTTTACCATAGTTTACTAAATTAGTTACACTTTGGCCGGGTTAGGGTAACCAATAGCAGATTTTATATTATATTTATTTATGTATTACACACATACACCGCTTGACCGCGCTGTTGAGTAACTAGCGTCGTCGAGTCGTCGAGCGTTGCTTGATAATCGCCTAATATGGGCCCTATTCAGTCCATCAGATATAAACTCGATACTCGACGAGACGTTACGCTCCCTTTTACAATCTGGCGCCCTAGAAGTGGTGAAGGTGGACAAGGGACAAGGGGTGCTGGGTGAGGGGGACGCATCACACGTGGCAGTGCAGGAGTGTCGCGTGTACAATGATACGGAACTGGCCGTCAGTGCATTGGGCAGCGCTGCTATTAAAGGTTAGTTTACTTTATGATTGGTTTGGTTCTGTCCAATGTTAAACTTACATAAGGCTTCTCCTTCATACGTTCCTGTCCTTATCGTAATCCAAGATCGTGAGCTCGATTCTCTCTATTTTGTACCCAACTATTGCTAGCTAGCTGCGCATTGTACGCGGACCTCGAAGGATTAAGATCTTCTTAGATTATTTGTTATTTCAGCTTTACGACTTATTAATTCATATATTTTATTTTTTTAAGGTATTGTGGCACCATATTAAATATGTCTTGTAGACAAAAGCTTGTTTTGAAGTCTAATCACGTCTTTGAATTTACCTTTTATGTTAGTTTCCTTAACATTTTTAAACAGAAATGGTCTTAATGACAACTCACATATATGCACTAGCTTAATATTCTTTTTTCCAATTTTCCGTAGCTTGCATGGATCTGACAGTAGCTGAACAGTTCCTCGCAGACTTGGATCAAGCCTCTAAGAGCCTGGTCGTGATGGGGAGCCTACATCTGTTGTACCTGGTGACCCCACAAGATGCCGCATCCATCAAGCCAGACTACGCTCATTATTATTCTTTGGTACGTTGTGTTTGAAGCAGTAATTGTTAATTTTTGGAATGTGATTATATTATAATAGGACTTCTTGTTGTGTAAAGTATTGCAGGCACGATAACATTTTGCTATACACGAGCTTTTTACAGATCAGTTTAGTTGAGGAACTATTTTTTTTTCTTTTCAAATAAACCAGCAGGTCTTATGTCTCTGGAACACTTCAATTTTTTGGTGTTGGCTTGGTTGTATTTACTATAAACCCTGTCTTACAGGAGTTGTAGCGTTTTTGGGAGGTTATGGCGAGTTTTCCCTAAAAAAAGATCGATGTCATTTAAACCAAGCTTTACCAATCAAGCATTTGTTATGTAATTTCTTATCTATTATCCTGGGATGCACAAATTTTGACAATATTCGTACGATCCACTCGGTTGATTACAGGGTGCCCGACTGATTTCGAGCTTAACCGGAGCCCTGTAATATGAGAGCAACACGATTACACAGCATTTCATTTAGTATATCTTATTTATATGATGTAGTAATCTGTGTGAATTATTTTCAGTACTCCAATTTAGACGAGGAAGGTGTTCAAACTGCTAAAGTTTTAGGTATCACGGAGCAAAACGCTATACGAATGATGACTGGGAAACCAATAAAAGTGAGTAAAAAGATTTTATTGTATTCTGTGGTAATAATAATTTAAGTTCTTTTTTGTAAAATATAATATGTGTACACCTGAATAATGAGCTCTCTCGAACTAACAAGCTGTGTTGTGGTCATTAACCGATTTTTGATAATGTACATTTGTAATAAAATTTATTTGTGTTTACAGAACGTATCTGAGAAAGTATTGTGTCGGTTCTACTTGGCTCTGATGTTACATGACTTGTGGAAGCAAGTCCCTTTCCCTGTCGTCGCCCAAAAGTAAGTTCTTAGCAATAACAAATAAAAATGAGGCTAGATATTACTTGGCCTCACAAGATATTTCATGTATGTGACGGACATTGGCTAAACAGACAAACAGTTGGAAAATGCAGTATATTAATAAGTGTTTTGTTTAATATTTAAGCTGTAGTGTTGCTAACTCAGTTTTAATTGTGAGAGTACCATGCTTTGGCACATAGACTTGCTCGTCTGGAGGAATACCACGGCCCCACAGCATAGAAAATCAGCGTGAAATAAAGATAATGTTGTATGAGTAAAGTTCAGAACACCTATTGCATGGTATCCGTAGATGACGCCGATTGCTTACCATCCCGTGATACATCTGCTCGTTGGCCGGTGCACCGCAATGCACGCTAGTTTTGAGCCAGGGTTGTGGGTGCAAGGGCAGTTATTTACGCGGCCTAGCATGGAGCAGGAGAAATGAGACACGGAATAATTTTTATTTAGGAAGTGCCTGACACTCCCTCTCGCCCCATTCAGGGCGGGAGACGCAATTTAACGAAATTTCACCCACAAAAAAACATCTCGTTAGGTGTCCTACCCACTCCGGAATAGGACATAGGCTACTTTTTATTAACATACCACGCGGGCGAAGCTAGTACTTAATTTCATATTTATAATAAAAGAAGCGTATGTTGGTGGTACAGATACAACATCCCCCGCGGCACGGTGCAGTCGGTGCTGGGGGCGGCGACGAGCGCGGCAGTGAGCGGCGCGCGGCTGTGCGGGGCGCTGGGCGCGCGCTGGCTGCCCGCCGCGCTGCTCGCCGAGCTGGCGCCCCGTCTGCAGCACGCCGCCGCGCCTGAACTCAGCATGCTCATGGACCTGCCTAATGTTAAGAAGGTAAGTGGTATATCTACGTAAAAATATTTTAAGAATTTTGCTCTCCTAATCCTTATTTTTTTAAATGGTTTGTGGTTGTAACTAAATCTAAACAAAATTTGATTGGCATATAAAATAAAAACCATAAAAAAGAAGTTGTTTTAGTTTTTTTTACACGAGTATTATATCTACAATAAAAATCTCAAAAATGCATATTTTTTTATTGATGAACAGTTACATCGCCTAATTGTTTTCCAATAATTAATTATGATATCACTTCTGGAATTATGACTTTTAAGGTATAGCATTCGCTCAAAATGTTTAGACACCATTGTCGAACGGTGAAGGAAAAAAATCGTGAGGAAACTTTTTTAAGAGTGAATTAATCAAATGACTTTTGTCGCTTATGATATATGTCAGACTCTTACTGGCTAAACCCTACCCGCATTCCACCTCTTGCTCCAGGCCGAGGCCTTTGTACCTTATTATACCTCAGCTAATTTAATTTGAAGTTTGTAAACACCATTCCACTTTGAGCAAGCGTAGGGATTATTAATACTCAATTTTTCTCCGTATAAATAGAGGACTTTGCTTAGCGCTGAGCACTTATAGGCTGTCGATGATGTAATACTACCGCATTGGTACAGGCGCGTGCCCTGCAGTTGTCCCGCGCGGGGTACAAGCGCGTGGAAGACGTGGCGCGCGCCTCCCCCGAGGAGCTGGCCTCCGCCGTGCCCCATCTAGCGCGCACCACCGCCACGCAGCTCGTCAGCGCCGCGAGGGTAATGTGACATATACTATCATTGTACCTAACTACTTAGTACTTCTTGTTTTCAGATTCATGCTATTAGCGTATACAACTTGAGTATAGACATAAAGGTAAAATTTCAATAGACACATTTAATTCTTTTAAGTATATGATTTTATTAATCCGCTTAGTTCTTTTCTTTGAAAATATCAAGTATTTCCGGAATATAATATGCAAATTCACAATTTGAATTACCTAAAGTTAAAATCTTACAGTATGTAGGGGGTAATCTTTGGAACCGCTGGCCGGATTGCCTATTCCTACACTGATTTCTAGTTTTATGTGGTTTCTTTTGTAGATGATACTCATTGAAAAAGTGGAGAATCTTCGAGCAGAAGCTGAGGACGTGATGGATGAGCTGAATTGTTGATTACCTAAATATATGTCTCCTCATTATAGATAGACAGCACGCCTTTACTCGTCGACGAAGGATGCCCATTGTCAGACATAAACCGTTTTGGTTTAGTGCAATTTAGGGTTATTTTAAACATTTTGTGAGTGGAAATACAATTATAAATAAATAAATAAATCTGTTATAAATTTATCATAAACATACCAAGCTGTGACTTTGTGCCTAAGTAAGTAGTGTAAATTAAACGATCATAGAAGCTTAGTTCTGATTGCTTAAAAACAATTTAATGAAATAAATAGCGTGATATTTTGAAAATAATATAGCCATAATATATTATACCTAATGTAAATGAAAGTATTTATAAATAAGGGAATGATATAAGTGCATTTATTTTTGATATTTTAATAAAATGTTTTCATTAAATTTCGTTGTTATTTTACTACCTGCACAAGTTATAATGTACCTTATTGTCATTTGAACAAGACAATCAATATCAATAATATTGCGTAACAGTGTAAAAAAGTTTACTGTTTTTTTTTTTGCTGCAGCCCATTAATTTCGTCATTCTATTAATTTTGTTATGGCTAAGTGCAGAGAAAAGGCGTACCTACGTGTATAACCAAGATGTATTATTTTTATGTGACAGGTTGGCAAACGAGCAAACGGATTACCTGATGGTAAGCAATCAGCGCTGCCCATGCACACAGAGGACATATGCAACAGAGGAGTTACGAGTGCGTTGCCGACCTTTTGGTGATTTAGGGATTGGGCCTCCGGTAACCTCACTCACACGGCAAAACACAACGCTGTGGTTGTTTCACGCCGGTTTTCTGTGAGCCCGTGGTATCACTTCGGTTGAGCCGACCCATTCGTGTCGAAGCGTGACTCTCCCACACTCAAAATCATGTATAAATGTAATAGAAGCTAAACAAGAATGTATTAATTATACCTACTTTGTAGTATCTTCTGACTAGCTGCCGCCCGCGGCTTCGCCCGTGTGGTATGTTGATAAAAAGTAGCCTATGCCCTATTCCGGAGTGTATCCTATGCCTACGCCAAATTTCATCCAGATCCGTCCAGTTTGGCGTGATTAAGTAACAAACATTCAAATAACTGAAACGGTACTGACCGGTCCTATTAACATTTTTAGGTGGTGTAAGGAGAAAAGTGGCATCTTTTTAAATAAGAAACTCGGACGTGAGACGCCCTTGTTTTACGTTTCAGTTCCACATAATTATAATTTTGGCGCCCCAACTGTAATGGCGATGGCGCCCGATGCGGTTGCACCGCCCTGAGTCCGGCCCTGCTTCTTTGGGACAAAGGCATGAGTTTATGTATTTAACCTTTTCTTACAGTGAAGCGTTAGAAAAGTGCCTACTCAAGGATTAAAAAACATTCAAAAGAAAAGAACATTATTTTATCATTATTTTGATTTATTTATCGGCGTTTGTATAAACAAGGTTTCAAAGTCAAGGCTGGTAGTTTGGCTTTCTTCACCGGCGGGTCTCTGATCTTGGTGAACTCCATGAAATAGAATACTTTATTACTCTTATCCAACTGTTTCAGTTTGAAACCAAGTCTCTCCACTTCCTTCGCAAAGTCCTCCACTTTGTCGAAACGACTTTCTACTTCCGCTATTAGAAGATGGCCTCTGTAAACGAAATTCATATGTTTTTGTTAGAAATAATTTTGAATTATTTAGCAATTTTTTTATGTTACAAAGTTACAGAAGATGGGTCTTAAAATACAGAAGTTATGTCTGCTTATATCTAAATAAGCAGACATAACTTCTGGTTAGGTTACTTGAAGCTTCTAAAATGCAAAGTTGAGATACTACATACATATAACACATGCAGTGATCAAAGCGGAGAATTATAGGTTGCCATTTACATTGAAAAAGACGTACCCCATTTTTAACACGCGGTTAGCTTCAAGCAGGTACTGAGTTAAATCAGTGCCCATCAGAGCGAGACAGTAGACAGTGACGTCCATAGACGCAGACAGTAATGGCGTCCGTGCCATGTCACAAGCTTCCACTCCTGGCGCGGTAGCCACCAGGTCAAATGACCGCACCTTGTGAGGCACTCGCCGAGACAATGCTGCTTCTCCGCAACCTAAGTCTGCTATGGTATGGGTCTTGGGCCTGGGCAGAAACAAGAGCAATTTTATAGTGCGAATATGTTATAGAAGAATATAATGTTTTCACATGATTTTAAATTATAGGCACCCTGCATTAAATGAAGGTAAGAAGGATTCAAAACATAATGATACTTTATGGTAAGTAATGTTATGTTGTTTGTTATTAGTAAGTCCAATACTGTATTGAATATAAGTATACTATATCGACTGAACATCAGCCCTGTTGGGCTCCATCGATGGTAGTCTATCATGTTTCAAATTACCATCAAAACTAAAAGCCAACTTACATTTTCATAATTTTCTTAATAATAACATCAAGCGGATTTACAGGCCATTTTTTGACTTGCAGCTGATATCCCTGGTGGTACGTCTCAAAGGCAGTCGGGTCATTTTGAAACAACTGCTGGGCTTCAGACCCTGATGAGGTGTATAACTTTTCATTTAAATATCGGAATTGGGCAGCTGGAAAAATAAATGATTGTTTTGTTAATTGTAGATCAAAGTAGAAATGACATGCATGAAAAGCCAATACTTAATGCAGTATGAAATTTTACAGCATCTGCTCGTTTGATGATCTATTCCACAAAAAAAAAACTGTTTGCATTTTAAAGCTCCTTTAATACTTAACTTGTCAAATTAAATACTTTTATTGAATTATCAAAAATAATACTTTTCAATGCTTTTTTCTTTTCAATGATTACAATAAATCTGAACAACTAGCTAGAAATAATATAAGATTAAGTGGTTTGTTGTCAAAGTATGATTTAATCATACTTTTACAACTTGAATAATTCATTGTATTATATTAATAGTCCAATTAGTTGATTGTAGCCTTAGGTAACTATCCAAGTCCAAAACGATGGAATTTCAATTGGAATTGTTTAGTTTAGTAAGTTATTTAACAGACCAATGTGTATGGACATGTGCATTACAAGATAAATACCTTTTAATCTCTCCAGCATTCTGTCTCTCAGCTTGTTTCCAGTGTTGCTAGTATTAATTGGTCTACGGAGACTACTGGTGTTATCTAACAATTGCTTCAACCTTGTTTTTTTGCTGTTAACCGGTTCAATACTCTCTATCCCGTCACTGTTTTGCTTAGTTAGTATTAATGATTCTGCATTCTTATCATTTACATTATTATTGATGCCATTTTTTGTTTTTTTCTTTTTAATCTTTTTTTTCTTTTCAGCAAATAATACATCCTCTTTGTCATCATTTTCAATTACTTGATTGAACTTTTTCTTTTTAGCGTTTAATAGTACTTCATCAAAATTATGTGATTCTGGGATTTCTACATAATCATCATTTTTTTTACTTTTTTTATTTGGTGTTGTATCTTTATTTGTCTTGTTTGTTGTATTGTGTTCAATCTTACGCTTTGGTGCTGTCTTTCTCAGACCATTAGTTTTGACTTTGTTTTTATTTTCTTTAACATTATTAACTACTTTAGTTTGTTCTTTATTTTCTGTTGCAGACTTTTCTTTTTTCTGAAAACAGACACAACATTAGGCAATCGGTTGGGTCGGCGTATTATGCAGTATAATTAAAGTTCAGGGATCAATGTGGCACTGTAATAAGCAGATTGAGAACCGTAGAAGAATTTACGTAGAAAAATAAATTCTTCAGTTTAATGAATTAAATGCAATTGTGGTTTCAAAAGATAAACATGTGGACTCCGGTACTTAAGCTTGTGTCTGATTGTAATTTCATTTTACCTTCACTTTTTGCATAAATGGCAAGGCAATCGAATCAGTTTTAGGGACATCATCTTCCCAAGCTGGTATTTTAAACATTTTAATAAAATACTTAAATAATACAAATACCTAAGTTGGTTTTAGGTTATGTTTACAGTCCACGATCTGTCAAGTATTGCAAAACGCAAAGCAATACGATGACTGACACATGGCAGCATGGTAATCAGTTGTCATTGTCAACAATTGGCATTGACAGTTTCTTCCACATGATTTGCGTTTTGTTTTATACAGAGCTCTCGCAATTATCCAATAATGTAATGAACAATAATCAATCAATCAATCAACAAAAGATGCCGGCAGAGAAAAATTTTGTAGTAACCACCAACTTCAACCATAGGAGAGCCAAGCTTCGGCACGAATGGGCTAGCTCAACCGGAGTATTACCACAGCCTCACAGAAAACAGGCCTGAAACAACCTGAACACAACCAACTGGAACAACAGCGTTGTGTTCCAGCGTGTGAGTGAGGTTACCGAAGGCCCAATCCCTTCCCATCTCCCCATCCCATCCCAATGCTTAAATATCCGAAACCCTTATCCCCAAAAGGCCAGCAACGCACTCGTAATTTCTTTGGTGTCCATGGGCGGCTTCGATTGCTTACCATCAGGTAATCTATATCGTTTATTTTCAAGTATTACGTAGGATTTTTTTTAATCATTTCAAGACAAAAAAGTAAGATCTACCTAATCTGCAAATGCCTGCGAAAACGCAATACACTTTTTTTGTATGGGGGACAATCTAAGTACTTATTTATTTCTGGGTAGGTAAAGAACTGAGGAGTGTCGGACTATAATTCACTAAAAACCACCAATATGCTCGTTTGCCAACATATCCAATGAAAAAACCGTCAATTTTCTCCCTGCTTGTGTTGTGAGTGCTGGCTAAGGGATTACATGACGTCACTACGATCAGGATAAGCTAAGATGCATAAGCATAATATAAGTATTATAACATTAACAATACATAATACCTACTTTCTTTTCGCCAATTATCTTACATGATTTCAAATGTATTTTGTCATGTTTGTCATTGACAACAGACAGTGCACAGTTCCAAATAATATTATATTAGATGGCTATTAGTAACAAATTAAAAATTTTATAATTCCCAGTTGTTGAGTGTTAAGTGTTTAGGTACTAGTCCGACTCAGGAATGGCAACGGAAGACCATTGTTTTATAGGAGACAGAACAATTTCTAAATAACCGTAACCTTCAAATATAAACGTAAGCGAGTTATACATTTTTTTTACATTTTCAACTCGTGCTATTTTCTTAATAATGTTAAAAACTTGTTTGTTTGATTTTTTATGGGAAGAGCGGCAAATGATCCTACGAGTCGTCTCATTCAGTCGATCATGTCGGAACATTTCACGAGGGGCATTGGACGTGTTTTGTTAACTGACTTCTCACATCCGGCCTTAGTCGAGGCCGTGGTGCGGATCAAGAAGAACTGTGAATCCGTCTCCTCTTTCTTCGAAGCGGTGATGCTCGCCAAAAGGAGGCGTTGAATGTATGTCTTTATCATCTAGATTTTGTAGTCAGATACTTTGGTAGAGAGAATTTGCTGCAAAGGCCACAAATTCGACTGGTTAGGTTTAAATAATAATTAACTTTTATGTTTTCAATAATCGTACATTCATTCAGCCGTGGCCCACCAAGTCGTTGCTTTCATGTGTAACGTACCGTTTGTTTTTGTGTAATAAAACAACGTTTCTAGTGTATTCTAGAGTGGAAGAGCCATGCTTCGGTACGAATGGAGTGATACCACGGATTCTTTCTTTTTTATGTGATAGTTCGGCAAACGAGCAGACGGATTACCTGATGGCAAGCAATCAGCGCCACCCATGGACACCGCAACAGGAGTAACGAGTGCGTTGCCGACCTTTTTGGGTTTAGGGATTTGGAGATTTGCGGATTGGGTGGGAAGGGTTGAGCCTCCGGTAACCTCACTCACACGGCGAAACACAACACTGTGGTTGTTTCACGACGGTTTTCTGTGAGGCCGTGGTATCACTCAGTGGAACCGCCCCATTCGTGCCGAAGCATACTTTCACAAAAAATCGCTTCGCCATGCGGAAAAGTTTTCGAGTGGCTAAATCTTCCCTCTTCCCCCATCGGCAATTCTCACTTATTTTGATAATTCTAAATCTAAATTAATAATTCTAATCCCTAGGTATTGAGTGTAAAAACGCATTTGAAACTCATTTGCTTACTACTGTAATCCATCTGCTCGTTTTCCGATCTATCATACGAAAAAGTATAAATAATTAATTGTATGTTTGCGCATTTATAATTAGATTAGAATCATTTATTCTTTGATAAGTTTTTTTTATAAGTATGTAGGGAATAAACCTGAGGTCATTAGATATTGAACACATAATGATGAGTTTTGATTGTGCTTTTAAATAGAATCTATCAATAGGTGGGTAGGTCTGGGCGTTCTATCGCATATCTACATTACACTGATAGTGGCCTGTTGGTGATTGCAGTACGTACGTATGCCTGTTTGATATTTACATCGGGGACTCTGCGCAAGTCCGTGATCCTGACATGCGCGAAAGGGGTCATATTTCGCCACCCTCAATAAATTTTGTGTTTGTGTTATTTACTAAATTAAAACAAAAAATAAAACATTGTAGCTTTACATTTTTCTTATTAAATTGTTATCTTATCTTTAAAAACGTATTTACATTTTAAAGATGTTTTGTTTTTGCACTTTTTTGTAAATAACCTCAATGGCAATGCAGTTGTTTTTAATAATTAAGTGTGTGTTGTGGTAATAGTGACACGCGTACATTTGTGAAACTAAGTGGTCTTTTTCAGTGTTGCAATGTTTATGTAAATTGTTGTAATCATTGACGTTACTGCTGTAATAATAATTGCTGTAAGTATCGATGTGTAAGACAGAGCCTCTTTATTTCTAGACAGTGACACCTGCGCGTACCTACATACATATTATTTAGTTTTTTTTTTATATAATTTAGGAAGGTAGATATTTTCGTTAAATGATCATATTATGTTAAATGTTAACATAGGTGGGCAGGTTCTTAACGTGACAGAAATTACAGGACGTTTCATGCAAGTTGCATTAATCTCAGCGATACCTACTGTTTTATGGTTCTAGGTCAATATTTATGCAAAACTGTAAGTTACCTGAAGACTGCAGGCTGTTATAGATATTAAAATCCACCGTGTTATGCATTTAGGAAGGTAGATTTCAATATTTAATCAATAATTAATGAGTAGGATCATAAAATCTTAATGTCACCGAAGGTATAACTGCTAGGTGCATAAAACTCAGTCTGAAACGTATTCTTAATGTGATAGGATACCTAGGTGGTCTTACTCTTCTTTTTTCTCTTATAAAACGTTATAAATTACCTTCATCCTGTTTTCATGTAAGTGCTACCTAAATACTTAGTTCGTAACGTTATTAATCCATGCATACAGTTTTTATCATTTCATTGCCGACAGAAAATACTGAAGGCAATGCCTCTGCTAACGTAGGTCACCGTTGAGCTATGATGAGTTTAAGTATTTCCTGAACCTTTCAACATATCTATATGTATATTTATTACTGAATCTAAATCTCCTTATATCACATTATTAAATTCACCATGGGAAGTGGAAAATATCTTTGATTTATTTCGTTTCGGGATTCAAGACATTCGTTAATGTCTCTGAGACGAACTTCAGCGTTTCGATGTGTTTATGTTGGTATCTACCGTAAATCCTAGCAAACAAGAGTTGCAAGGGATTTGGGATGTTGTATGGGGCATTTCAGAGTGGTTTAAAAACGTATAATTAAGTGATGAATGACGATGACGAACGAAAACGATAAACATCACATTTGTTATTAAGCAACGATGAAATCCGACATTCATATACCAAGGGAAGTAACATCAACATTAGCTGTTTCATACCTATCCAATCCATCGTGCGGAAACACCAGAGTCACCCCCTCCACAAGCCTGCATGCCAAATCTGTTAGCTATTTATTCAATTATGTGATTATTACTATTATTTTTTAATTGTAATAAATATTGATTTAATTTTAAACTGTTGAATTAATGTATTTGATAAACTGTAAAAGTTGTGAAACGATGACACTCGGTCGGCCGCCATCTTGTTATTTGAGGTTATAAAAGCAAGCGGCACAGCGACCGAGAGTCATTCGTTACTTGAGCTTCGCCTCGTTCACATCAACGACATCATATTGATTTCTTGTAAGTACCTACTTTCTTTGTTTTGTGTGATTGATGCTGTTATTTAATCTTATAATTATTTGATTAATTAAACTAGTTATATATATAATATAATATATATTTAATGACCATATTAAACTGTTGTAAGTAAATAAATAAGTATTGTTATTACCCTACGAATATATGAATCATACCTGAAGATGATCTGTATGATTTCTTGAAATAAACCTACTAACTAATATATAAATTTCATTATTTTACAATGTAATGACTTTTAAACAAAGGTGCCTGACATCTCAGAAGTGGGATAGACAGAATAATCTATGTACTTTATATGTATGTACAGGGTGTGTTTGGGACATATCATAATTCTTTAAAGGCAAATAACTAACTAACAAGGATTTTGGAACCAAAATTCTAGCAAAATTTGTTTTTTTTTTTTATTTTACCCCATCATTTATAGTATTATTAGTATCATTTTAATTTTTTTTAATTATGTTAGTATATGATTGCTGTATCTAATTTTCCCGTTTTACACTCATCCATTAATGTTTATCTATAAATGTGAGGAAAACAGGTACTTGTGCTAGCAATGGAACATTCAGGCTCTCCTGTGTTGCCCTCGGGTAGCGTATCTAGCCTACAAGAATCGGGCCAACGACGCCGTCATGCATCCAGTTTGAGACCCCAGCATTCTCCCAGTCAGCAAGCGCCTGACCGGGTCCCAAGCCGGTTGTTGCTTAGCCCAGCAAGACCAGAATCCAGTAGCCAGCAGCCAAGGGGCGAGACACCAGAACAACAGCGGTCCAGAAGCCGAACGAGCCGTCGGTCAAGAGAGAGATTCTATGAGCATCGATCACCGCGGCGATCCCGAAGCCGAACGAGCCATCGGTCAAGAGAGATGCTCCATGAGCATCGACCACCACGACGATCCCGAAGCCGGACGTGCCTTCGGTCGAGAGAGACGCTCGATGAGCATCAATCACCGCGGCGATCCCGAAGCCGGTCGAGCCATAGGCCCCAGGAAAGGCGACAATCGCCCCAAAGGCCTCGAAGCCGTACCAGCCAAACAGTCTACCATCAGCGCGGGCAGCGGTGGCGCAGCCGTGACCAGCAGCATCACTCACCTCGCCGCAGTCCCAGCCGACTTCGGGACGTAAGCTGCCTGAGTAGTTGTCGGTGCGGGTGCAATAAACACCCACAACGGACCATTGACCAACAACCAACGGATGAGAATAAGGTTAGTTTAGCATCACCTAGTCTATCCAATTCCAATAATACTACTTTGAACATGTTAATACAGGCCCTTAAGGCGGTTACTCCTGACTCAGATAAAGTAAATCCACAAAAAAATACTGTACCCGAGTTCGACCCTGCTAGGAAGGAACAAACCATAACTATGTGGCTACACAAAGTAAACGAGTGCGCCACTATATATGGTTGGTCTGATAAGCAAGTTGTACACTTCGCTCTTCCCAAATTAACGGGGGTAGCGAAAAGGTGGTACGAGGGCCTCCCCTCAGTCTTATTTTCTTGGGATGAGTGGCAATCTAAACTACTTGCAGCTTTTCCGTCAGATGAAAATTATGGCCAGATGCTTAGTGATATGCTAGCCAGGCGCGCTAAGTTCGGGGACTCTCTAGAAGATTACTTCTACGATAAAATAGCCCTTATAAATAGGTGCTCTATTACCGGAAGGAAGGCTGTAGATTGCGTACTGCACGGCATAGACGACCGCTCTGTTAGGCTAGGCGCAGAGGCGGTACAGTTCGATGATTTAGACAAACTATTAACTTACTTAAGAAATTCGCGTAACGTCAAAATCAATCCTGATAAACGTAATTCTAAACCTCTTCCTCTTAAGAATTCCGCCGATCTTTCTCAATCCAGTAATCAATCGCAATCAACTTCATTTAAAAGGAAAATACGTTGTGCCAACTGTAAGACAGAAGGACATATAGTTAGTCAGTGTAGTCTTCCTATAAAAAAATGCACTAAATGTTTTAGAATAGGGCATGAGACCGAGAAATGCTATTTTAACGCATCTACATCTGAGAAATCTGTGAATAGAGTTGGCTCAGACTCTGATGCTGGTCAAAAATTCTTTAAAACCGCGCTGGTTAACAAAGTTCCAATAGAGGCTTTTGTAGATCTAGGTAGCGAGTGCTCTATGCTAAAGGAGTCTTATTTTACTAAATTAGGAATCAAAGACATCGAACTTGATGGTTTGCCTGTTCTAAAGGGGTTTGGTAATTCTTTCGTGGCAGTTTTAGGGAGAATTAATGTGCAAATTGAAATTGATGGTGTGGGAGCTTACACGGAGCTGCTTCTGGTCCCAGATGATGCTATGAAAATGCCACTGATGATAGGTCAAACATACACTGAGCAACCACATATCCTTATACATAAAACTTGTGAACGATTCGATATTCTCTTAAATCTTACCAATGTAGTAACAAATAATAAAATCAGTTTGCACTCTTTAGAGTCTGTTATAGTATCGGGTTTGACTATTGTGAAAGTTTATACTAATCCAAAATTCACTGGGGTGTTGTTTGTCGAAGGTGGCTTAAGAACCAAGAATGGTGTTCATCATTATATACCTACCGGCATCTATGAGTTTAATGAACTCGGCGAGGGTACGATTGTTATTAATGGATTAAATTCCAAAACATTTTCTGTTGTTAAAGATGATTTGGTTGCTCGTGGTAAAATAGCATATGAAGAGACCAAAAGAGACATACTCCGCGTAATGGCCCAAGACCATCAAAGTCAGTCCAGACCCATTACATTGTCGGACTTACACATCGGCAACAACTTAGACGAATCAACGTCTAACGACCTTTTGCTGCTCCTTAATAGATTTCGTAACTGTTTCGCATTTTCACTGTCCGAATTAGGTAATTGCCAAATATCAGAAATGTCGATCTCCTTACAAGACAATGATCCTGTGGTATATAGACCGTATCGGTTAGCCACAAAGGAAAAGGAAATAGTTAGGGAAATGATTGATGAGCTGCTTGAAAATGAAATTATTAGGCCCTCTACCTCACCGTACTCCAGTCCTATAGTTCTGGTTAGGAAGAAAACCGGCGACTATCGCCTCTGCATAGACTATCGGGCATTAAATAAGAAGACAGTAAAAGAAAACTATCCAATGCCTCTTATTGATGACCAACTAGATGTCCTTTCAGGAAATAATTATTTCACAACCCTCGATTTGGCATCTGGTTACTACCAGATTTCTATAAATGAGCAAGACAAGCATAAAACTGCATTTGTCACCCCTGAGGGCCACTTTGAGTTTAATAGAATGCCTTTCGGCCTTGCTAACGCCCCTGCCACCTTCCAAAGAATCATGCACCAGGTTCTTGGTAGCCTCCGTTATAAAGAAGCTCTAGCATATCTAGATGATATTATTATACCATCACCCGATATTCCTGTAGGTTTAAAGCGCCTAGAACTCGTATTGCAGGTTTTGTCTAATGCTCATCTTACTTTAAAACTAGAAAAATGTGTTTTCTTTGGTCGTTCCGTAGATTATTTAGGCTTTGAGGTCTCAAAAGATGGTATAAAGCCAGGGTCTAAGAAAATCTCCGCAGTTGAAAACTTTCCTTCCCCGACTAATCAACACCAAATTCGGCAGTTTTTAGGATTAGCTAGTTTCTTCCGACGCTTTGTACAGGGTTTTTCTATACTGGCTAAACCATTAACTCAACTCCTTAGGAAAGATGCCGCATGGGTATGGGGACAAGATCAGCAAACCGCTTTTGAAGCGCTTAAAAATAAATTGATTCAAAAACCTATATTAGCCTTATATAATCCAAAAGCTGATACTGAGCTTCATACCGATGCGTGCAAAATAGGTATCGCCGGCATTCTACTACAAAGGGACGATCAAGCCAAGCTAAGGCCAGTTGCTTATTTCAGTAGGCAAACTACACCAGAGGAGCAAAACTATTCCTCCTACGATTTAGAGACCCTTGCGCTAGTAGCCTCCCTTCAAAAATTTAGAATTTACCTTGTAGGGATTAGTTTTCGCGTAATTACTGATTGTAATTCATTACGAGCCACATTTTCAAAACGCGATATGCTACCACGAGTTGCCCGGTGGTGGACACTAATGCAAGAATTCGACTTTAACATTGAATATAGAGCAGGGGTGTCTATGAGCCATGTTGACGCCTTGAGTCGCAACCCTGTCGAACAACAAATACAGTATTCTGTTTGCAATGTAACTGAATCGAATTGGATTACGACGGTTCAAAATGCGGATTCAGAAATTCAACGAATCATTGGCATTTTGAGTGATCCAAATTTAGAAGATGTAACTGATATTAAAAACAATTACAAATTAAAAAATGGTAAATTATTTAGAGTGACTGCTGAAGGCGATCGCTGGGTTGTGCCTAAGGGCGTTAGGTGGCAAGTAGTGAAACAAAATCATGACGATATAGGCCATTTCGCTTTAGATAAAACCCTTGAGAAAATAAAACTTTACTTTTGGTTCCCTAAAATGAGACGCTTTGTAAAAAAATATGTTACATCATGTTTAGAATGCGCATATTCAAAAGCTTCAGCGGGTAAAAAACCCGGTTACCTTAACCCAATCGTAAAAGTCAGTCAGCCATTTGATACGGTACATTTGGATCACGTTGGACCTTTTGTTAAAAGTTGCAGGGGTAACATTTATATTCTAGTTATTATTGATGCATTTACCCGTTTTATTTATGTAAAAGCAGTTCGTAACACCAGAAGTAGTACGTCCATAAAGGTATTGCGCGAGTACATGGGTATTTTTGGTGTTCCGCGTAGAATTATATCCGATAGGGGAACATCCTTTACAAGTGATTCCTTTAAGTCTTTCACAACTGAGAAAGGTATTGTCCATGTCCTTAACGCGGTTGCCACCCCTAGAGCGAACGGACAGGTCGAGCGTTATAATAGGGTTATAGTAGATTCTCTGACAGCTAAGTGTGCAGGGACCTCTGAAAGTAAATGGGAGGAGCACTTACCCGAAGTTCAATGGGGAATTAATAACACCTTTAATAAAGGAATTAATAGAACACCTGCCGAGGCTCTCTTTGGTGTTCGACCGAAAGGTGTTAGTGATAGCAAGTTGATAGTAGCCATTGACGAAGGTGTCACAACCAATAACAAAGAGTCTGATCTTACCACCATCCGAGAGGAAATTAGTAGTTTTGTTGCTAGTTCTCAACAACAGCAGAAGGAAAGATATGATAAAACGAGATCCAAACCTGTACAATTTAATGAGGGAGATTTAGTTAGGGTAGAACGACAAGTACCTGCTACGGGTAATAGTAAGAAGTTAGTCCCAAAATATCAAGGTCCTTATAAAATTACAAAAGTATATGCACACGATAGATATCAGATAGAAGATACCCCATTGACTAGAAAAGGTAATAAGAAATATTCCACCGTGGTTGCGGTTGACAAATTAAAACCGTGGCTTAACTTTTCCCGACCCAATGATAATATTCTGAGTGAGGAGGAATCTGATTAGTTTGCATGTCTTAGTAAATTAATATTCATAGTTAGAATTATAAAAATAATATGCAGAACAAAGAGGTCTGCAAATTTATATTATAATGCAGAACAAAGAGGTCTGCAAATTTATATTATAATGCAGAACAAAGAGGTCTGTAAATTTATAAATATTTTGAGTAGTCAGGACAATGAGGCCTGTAACTACAATAAAAATTTGTGTGATACCCAGAACAAAAACTTCTGTGGTTTTAATAAAATCGAACGGGACAATGAGGCCCTCCTTTTTTTTTACAGAGATATTATTATTTTTCAGAGTAGTTATGTAATAGTTTCGTGTAAGGACACACTTAAGGTTGGATGGCCGAATCTGTTAGCTATTTATTCAATTATGTGATTATTACTATTATTTTTTAATTGTAATAAATATTGATTTAATTTTAAACTGTTGAATTAATGTATTTGATAAACTGTAAAAGTTGTGAAACGATGACACTCGGTCGGCCGCCATCTTGTTATTTGAGGTTATAAAAGCAAGCGGCACAGCGACCGAGAGTCATTCGTTACTTGAGCTTCGCCTCGTTCACATCAACGACATCATATTGATTTCTTGTAAGTACCTACTTTCTTTGTTTTGTGTGATTGATGCTGTTATTTAATCTTATAATTATTTGATTAATTAAACTAGTTATATATATAATATAATATATATTTAATGACCATATTAAACTGTTGTAAGTAAATAAATAAGTATTGTTATTACCCTACGAATATATGAATCATACCTGAAGATGATCTGTATGATTTCTTGAAATAAACCTACTAACTAATATATAAATTTCATTATTTTACAATGTAATGACTTTTAAACAAAGGTGCCTGACACATGTATTGCAGATATCCATGCGTCAGTTATTACTCGCCATATCACCATTATGACCAGAAGATCCGTCTGCCATTTGGCACCCTATCGAACAAAATGTCTCTACATCAAATAATTTTAACGACACGATCATTGTTCTCTATCAAAAATGATCTTACGGTTTTTAAGGTACCTTCATTACTATACATCAAGTGGGGGAATCATTAAATTACTTCCTTCGCCCTAAGCGTGTCGGTGGGTAGTTAGATTCCAGTTACTGTCTAAAAACCACCCCATTTCTTGCCCCCGCGCCTGGCCGAGGTGGCCGGGATTGCCGGGATAGCGGAGGCCGCCATTATTGCATTCGCGTCCGCAACCATAGCTGAACGTGATCACTATTGAGAATCTATAATGGTCTATTGGATCTTTGAGGCGTGCACGGTATGCTACGCGCTCTACGGTCGAGGAACGAATGGGTCGGCTTGACCACTGTGATATCACGGCCTCACACTACCCGAATCCTTAAAAGCTTGGCAAAAAACTCGTAACAACGTACTCATCCAGTATAAAAAATCTCCATACTAATTATCGTCTTTCTATCTGATATTTCTCAAAAAACGCTTTGCGATGGCAGCGAATTAGCATTCCTTTGCACTCAACGTGCTACTAGCACGATGTCCAGCGATTATGTGTAATCCCACTAATGTTATAAATGTGAAAGTTTGTGAGGTTGTATGAATGTGTTTTTGTTATTCTTTCACGCAAAAACGACTGGATCAATTCGGTTCAAATATGGAATGCTATTGGTGATACCCTTTTTTGTCAGGGGAAAATCATCAAATGACTTGTCCCTTCTAGGGTAGGGCGATAGAGAGAGTCAGACTCTTACTGATTAAAAACCCCCCTGTTCCTTCTCCTGCTTTGGGCCGAGGCCGCGGCGACTCATTGCGCTTAACCCGCAACCCCGGCTGAACATCAGCCCTATATAGGGCCCCGCCTGTGGTGGTCCAATGACTCTTTAAGGTGCGCGCAGAATGCTACCTACGCGCCGTACGCTCGGGTCTGGTTCTGATTATTGATATTGACGCCCTGGATTAACAAAAAGGCCATTTTTTATCAACATACCACGCTGGCGAAAATGAGGGCAGAAGCAATTAATTTTTAAAATTTGACGAGATAACGTAGATGCTCCTGCCTTGATCCATACATGATTTTTAACTCCAGAACCGCTGACTCGAAATTTTATAATGTATTTTGATTTAGATGTATTTGGGTAGTTATATCAAAAAAGTGATTGAAGTAGGAGAAAACCCCAAAAGCTTTTTATATTTTGGGGCGATATCACCATCATCATCATCATTTTCAGCCTCACACGGAGAAAATTTAGGTAAGCATACCACTCTTGCTCAAGGCTCGGGATCGGGAATTACAAACTTCGAAGTAATTACGAATTAAAAGTCCAGGTTTCCTCACAATGTTTTCAATTATCGAAAGTCAGCTATGTCTTAATTATCTTGAAAAAGGACATATGATTCAGAAAAAGTCACACAGGGTTTTGAACCCACCTTCATACATATGGGCGTCTAACCTTCAAGGCCACCACGACAGAGCATGATATGAAACATATTTTATAATACGAAATGAAATAATACCTAACGTAGCAATTATTTGTCCATTTCGTGATAACCGATCAGCAGTTTGTTTTTCGTTGCCATTGTCGTTTACTTTCGTTACTTAAATAAAGCATAGATTTAGAATACTCTATTGTGTTTTTAACGTACTATCCACTAAAGCTAGTCTGATTGTATTGATAGGTAAGTCATAATGGATAAACTTCAGGCCAGTATAAAAAAACCTACCACAAAAACAACGACATTAGTGTCATGAAAGATAGTAGCTAACACTACCTTCATTTGTTTGGTCACAGCGATAAATTGGCTTTAGTTAAGTAGTCTCAAACTATCCCATATTTTATTTTTCTGTACTATATTTAGGACGAAGTTAAATGTAAATAGATTAAATATTAAACACTTATGTTTACTTATGTAGAAATATTTTTTGCTATCAGATCGCTCGCTTCTGCACCAAAGAAACCGAATAAAATGCGGATGTTATCCAGATGATGCAGGAACAACTGCCCAGTGCGTAACTGAATACCTTGAAACAGACAAATGGGAATAAGAAATAAAGGGGTAAGTTTTTAGCAACAAGTTTGTAAAATATACTTAGTATACCTGTGCTTAAACAATTTATTCTGCAACAGCGGGACTGGCGGTTCCAATGGAGCATGGTGATGATAGCGGCGGCCGCGCTGGTGGCATACAACGCGGTCGCCAACCTTTGGCTGCTGCATCCTGCTTCCTGCCCCATTCCACCTACGAGCCCGCCGACAGAGCCTCCCACCTGCGAGCCATGCTTTGGCAAAGTCTCCAGCGCTGGCGCAGATTATGATCCCATTTATGCACTTGACCTAAGGCTAGGCAGGTGGGATGGCAGTCGTTCATATAAAATATTTGATAATGTAGCAGTTGGGGAGCTGTACTCCGAGATGTCTACTAGTTACCACGTTTGCCTTGCGACGCAGAGCTCCATAGAGAGGCTCCACGAACTATTGAGGATTGCAGCGCACTGGACTGGACCAATCTCAGTGGCCGTATTTGTGGCCGGGGATGAAATGAGACTGCTTAGAGCTTTCACTACGTGGTTGTATAAATGCCAACCAGAAATTTATTCAAGACTAGCTTTACACATTATTATGCCTGCGGCAAAACCAGGGTTCATTGAAGGGTCACTTCCAAAGTGGGCGAGGGATTGTGACGTCATTCCTCTACCCCATGAGGAACGAAAACCCGAAACCGTGGCTTGGAGAGCGAGGCATCCATATCCTCAGAATCACATGAGGAACTTGGCGAGGAAAAATACCCATACATCTTATGTTTTCTTAGTAGATATCGATATAGTACCTTCTACAGGGATGGCAGAAGCCTTAAATCAGTTTCTCGACAGCTCGCCCAAATGTCCGCTCTGTGCTTACGTGGTGCCTACATATGAGTTGGACCGAAGAGTTGCCAAGTTTCCTGCAAATAAATCAGAGCTGGTGAGGCTCTCTAGAAGTAAACTGGCGATACCATTCCACAGGAAAGTGTTTATTTATAACCAGTTCGCTTCGAACTTTTCACGGTAAGTTCGCCATGCAAATTGTTTAATTAGACCTATTCATTCCTAGAATTATTGATTTGTCTGCGGTAGTACTTACCTACTTACTTATATAGGTACCATTTATAGATAAACAACGATGTTAGTTAACGAATGAAAGGATTTTCAGTATGTTTGTGTTGAAGGTGGGAAGCTAGTGGAGGCAATGAGAGTGAGCTGACGCACATCAGTCATAACGTGACAAACTTCGAGTTGCTGTATGAGCCGTTCTACTTGGCTTCGGACATTGTACCAGCTCATGACGAGAGGTTCCTCGGCTACGGGTTTACAAGAAACTCGCAGGTGAGAAATACATTTTTCAACCGATAACTGTTCTTCACATTTTTCAAAACCATTTCTCCAATTTAGGATGATTTCAGTGTGTTGTAGTAACAAAGTACTCACGTAAAGTCAATGTCGTATTTGCTAAGAATTAACATAATGATCTGCAGTATGACAGAGATATTGACGTACCTACTTGTTAAAATCAAACTTCAAAAATGCAAGTTGAGCGCAAGTTAATCAGTACGTAGCGTAGTCCCGTCGCGCCGAGCTGGTCCTGATAGATTTGTTGCGCCGCCTGCCAAATGGTCCCGTTTGGCACCTCTCCATAATCGACACTTTGGATATTATGTTGTTCGCTTGCTGAATATATGCTCTACGTTATTCCGATTTTTTGCACTCGTTGCAAAAACAAGCAAACTACTGAAACGTATAAAATATTTATTCGACAATTGCATTCATGTTTTTTTCGCGAAATACTTCTCATGGGATATAGAACTGTAAACACATACCCGAAAGTGTATGTGTAGTTATTATTTTTGAGGGCTTCTACACGTGTTCGATTTTTTTTATAAATGACACAAGATCTACACGTGTTTCCAATTATATTTCGGGAACTATCCAAAGCTTATGTAGTTAAGAATATTCACCAGTAGGTAACTACTCGCCTTCTTTTTCCAGGTTTACGAGATGTTCCTAATCGGGTACCAGTTCAAAGTGCTATCCCCGATCTTCACGATCCACTGGGGAATACAGACGAGAAGAAACCGACCGTTGTGGCGGGAAAAACAGAATGAGAACAATAGAAAACACTTTGAGACTTTCAAGAAGGAATTGTTTGCGAGGTATAGGAAAGACCCTCTTCATTTGCTTAAAAGACCGCAACAGGCTAAGAAGACCTAGGCATCGCGAGGCCGTGCTTTCTCTGCCGGCCTCGGACTACTCCCACTTGCAGCATTAACTTGGACACTCTCCGTTCTTGTGACAGACGAATGACAGAAGAATTAGTATACGTGTAGGTGTTGTCAAGTGACTGTGTGTATGGAAACAGTGTCAAATTAAGTGTTGTAGGGTAATTTTGTAATATAACTGAACTATTCGTGTAAGTAGAAATCAAAGTAGTTAGCTGAAATAGATTTATACTACGTTGATAAATAAAGTAGTTTAATACACCTATTTAAATTCTATTCTCTAGATGTAAGTAGACGGTATTTGCAGGCTAAAATTGATTTTGGATCAGACTGGATTTTCTGGAATGAACACATTCGGTTATTTGAGTGATTGTATTACATTTTAAATACGTTTTCACATAGTGTTCATTGATAATAATGTACATAAAGACAATCCTAATTAGAATTTCAAGTGATGTGGACAGGATTTATCTAAAATCAGATTTAGTCAGAGGAATATAAATGTACTTGTACACTATATTAATAGTAATTATTATATTTAAATCTATATTGCTGTTGTAATCTTAATTATGTTTTATTTTGAAATAGGTAATGCACGTTCAAGAAAGTGAGAATTTGATATACAGGAATGTGAAGATGTGAGCTCGCCATTGGCGCTCGCTACTTATTTAAAATACCTTCATTTATTGTGTTCTTACGAAGAAAAAGGAAGAAGAATGGTTTCTGAAGTCACATAATGGCAACAGTAGAACATTCATAATGATTGATCTATCTTTAAATTTCATCGATAGACAAGTTGTTGTGAATGTCAAATACTGATCATTGGATGATGTTTAAGGACTGAAAACAAGTTAGGTTAGTAGTGAGGATGTCTGGGATCAAACCTCTAAAAGGCTCTCGACTAGTAGGCACAAAGGTTGTTTCATATCTACTTTAAAATACTTGCATTTAATCATTGTTGTCTATGAATGTGATACGCGTAACTATTCAATGTGATTGTTATGTCCATAAGCACTAGCTTTGTACATTAATTTTAAATATTTAACGCTTGTGTAGACCAGGCATTTTTTTACCAGTACAGTGTCTAGTGCGCGGTTATTTTTACGCTATTACGATTCAAACATTATCGCGTTAATGCTCACTGATTGGTTAGTTAACTTGGAACGGGCCAATCAGAGCGTTGGACGTCATAAACGCGTTGATTGCGGTAACAGACGCAAACTTTTTTAGGCATTCTGATCTTTTATAATCTGTTGAGTTACTAAAAAAACACGTAGTTTTTGGAGGTTATTTTTCATGTTTTTCAATAGATTGTTAATTAATGGAGGAAAACTTTACTAGTTTCAAGTCAGATCGCGAACAATGTAGCCAGTGTATGTCCTTCAAATATTTTAATATGTCTACACGAAAATCCGCAATCGATATTTGTCGTCTTCTGGAAAAAGTTTAGCGCGCCCTTAAACTGAATGCTTCGTTGCTGAAAAATGTACCTTAATTAAACTGCATGAGTGACTGTTTTAGAAGGATTTTGAATAAGCCAATCACAATATTAGTTGCGTTTTTATGCTAATGTATGGTATAGTTATATGTATGTCAAAGCACTGTTTATAGAGCGCAAAGCCTAACGCTAGTAGGCAATTAGTTCAAAGTACGTAATCAAACTAGTTTGTTTGATACAGTATTATTTTAATCGTTCCTATTTTACGATCATGTTATAAACACTTTGTTTACCTTGTTAAGATTTTGGAATTTTTATTATTTATCCTATATTGTAGATACGTGTTACGATGTTGTGAGTTTATTTATTAATTACGATTTATTGCCGAAGCAGATGGACAGATTTTGATGATTTTCATATTTGAGGAATTTATTTTCAACTTTAATAAACTTTGAATTCATCAAACTTGGTAGTGTGTACCTAAGTAAGTAAGATGTGATAAATGTGCACTGGGAGAATATGTGAAAGCATTTTACTAATGATTTTCCTTACATAATTGAATTGTAAATGTTAATTCATCAATTAAATTAAAATTGTACCTTATTGTTAAATATGATTTAATAGTACTTTGTTATACCTACTTTTAAATATTATATTGTATTTATTATTCAAATTACGTTTTATACATATATTTTATAATATGTAATAATTTAATGTTATACAATTTGAGTGAGAGTTTGTGAACGCAGTAGCCTTTTATTATTTTTATTCACAATTTTTCAATAAACAGTTTTCAAATCCTTTAAATGCAATTAAATTATTTTAATACAGGCATACATGTAATCGTTGAATAAAGTTACTAGAGAAATAGTGTGAGATACTCAAGTGTGGGGTGCCATGCTGGAATGGGCTGGCTTGACCGGACCACGGCCTCATAGAAAACCAGCGTAAAGCAACACTTACGTTATGTTTCGCACAGTGAGAAGGCCCAATCCTCCCCCCATCCTCAAAACTCAAATTCTCTATCCTTGAATCCTTAAAATCCTACAAGTAACTTGTAGCAACGCACTTGTAGTAACTCCTTTGATAAAGAAGTGTCTTTGGCAAAGACACTCGTAATACCAAAGACTCTTTGGTATCTCGAGCGTCTCTTGGCGGAGCTGATTGCTTACCACCAGGTCATCAGTTTGCTCGTTTGCCAATCTATTATATTATTATTAGAATTGATGGGCATAAGAGGGGATGATAACTTACCAATAAAATTCCTTACCTGCCCATTAAGATGCAATTCCATTGAGGCAGAGCGGAGAAGAGCAGTGCCGTGATTCACCAATCACATGGCTTGAAATCCACATCGGAGAAGAGATGTTCTCCGCTTTGCTCCGCTCCGATTTAATTGGAACTGCACCCTTAAAAAAAGTATTGACTATGTCAGTAACCTTTTGTCATTTGAACCCCAGTAATTCCTCGAGCTCTAGACTGTGTGTCTGTGTGTGGAAGAAGTCCACTAAGCTAGTGAACTTCTTACGTTGATAGACTGCGGGCCCGGGTAACACAAAATTAACAAATGTATGAGCTAATAATTAATTTTATTGGAAGTATAACGTATAATAACGACATCTGACATCATAGAACTCATCACTGAGGATAAATAAAACAGAAATAGACGTTCGACAAATGTTCATTAAGGTCGAAGAAGATTTTTGTTTGGTGGATAATGTATTGTGCTGTACTACGGTCATATAGTAAGTAATGCGAATTTTACATTAAGTTTTAGTTGGCAGGGCGTCTATTAAAATTATATAATTACTTCTAATATAAAAAAATATTGGATTAGTCTTACCAAAAATTGACTAATTTTTAGTTAGTAGATATAGGTACCTAAAAATTTGCCGAAAATACTATGGAATTTGGAACTGCAAAATAATCATTTATTTCAGCGTGGACAATCAACAAAAAATCAAACTTGTCTTGTCTTGAGTGGGTTGGTCACCCGTTCCTTCTCCTGCTTCAGGCGGAAGACGCGGCACCTTATTACGCTTGCCCCGCAACCCCGGTAAATCATCAGACCTTTTGAGGCCCATCTGACAATAATATACCTTATGTCTTTTCCGTTAAGGCATTTTATGGCACACAAACACTATTCAATTTTTTTTACGTAGGTAATCGGCAAACGAGCAGATGGATTACGTGATGGTAAGCAATCAGCGCCGCACAGAGGAGTTCAGAGTGCGTTGCCGACCTTTTGGGGATTAGGTACCTATTTGGAGATTTAGGGATTATTTTGGGATTGGGGAAAAAGGTTTGTGCCTCCGGTAACCTCACTCATACGGCGAAACACAACGCTGTGGTTGTTTCACGTCGGTGTTCTGTTAGGCCGTGGTATCACTCTGGTTGAGCCGACCCATTCATGCCGAAGCATGACACTCCCACACTCACTCTTTATAACTGAAAAATTTCAACGTAGGAATATTCCTAAAGTAACAAAAATGACATTTACAACCTATTAAGATTATAATTACAATAATAACAGAAAACAATAATAAGTGAGATAACATCATAATAATACATCCATATGTCCATAAAACACTCCCACTTGCGTTCGTTCGGAATCCCGTATCACATTACGAGGCGGCACAGAAATATTCCGCGCTAGTATTTTCATAACCCGCGGCTATTTATGTTGCTCCATGCTGCTATTGTTACAAGGAGGTACACGCTGTATAGGTTCCCTAATGCTTTACCTTCACATCCAAAGGGTTACCTTCTAATTAATGCATCTTATATATATCTAGAGTAGCGAATTTTGTTATCATTCTCAAAGAAAGTCTAACCATTTTAAAACACATTTTTGCACGTTAGAGAAAGATTTAAAGTTATTTGTTAGCCTATCGGACAGTGCTCTAGTGAAGCTATTCGCTCATTTCATAGTGTAGGAGAACGAGCAAAAACTCTATAGTTACCTATCATTTTTCGGTCAGTTCCACAATTAAATTCTTTATTACATTGTTGTTAAATTTTACTTTGGCACTGTTTAATTTTACTTTGCCATCTATTGCATCGCATGTTTAATGTAACTTTACCAAAAAATATCTTTCATTTGTGTTTTTGAAATGTCGCTTACTTAAAGGTACTTTATAATATTAAAACGCTGAAGAGTTTGTTTGTTTGAACGCGATAATCCAAGGGTCTGCACGTTAGAATTGAAAAAAAATATATAATAAAGTAATAGTACAGTCCATGTATCAAGGAAGGATCATATATGATAGAAAATAACTAGCGGGTGAAACTGCGCCGGAATAGCTAGTTTATCTAATTCGTCTTGAATATGTTTGACGATGTTGTGTTGCTGAGATGTCTATTTTTAAATTCTGTTGTAATTTATATCGTGTTAAAATATAAAACAGCGAAATAATGGGGGCGGATCGTGGCTCACATCACTCGTTAAAACATGTTCAACAAAGATTTTCCATGCAGTTTTATGTTTCCTTATGTTTTGACGTAAACATGTTTGCTGGGTATTTGATTATTACACATTAAATGATGAATATTAACAATTGCTTCAAAGGCACAAAAAAAGAAAGCAAGTACACACATTGCAAATAGAATTTATTAAATGCTCGTGATTTCTGCTGGATGTTATTTCTATACACAAAAGCGCTTTGTCTTAACCCTCGTGGCTTGGAGATTGCTAAAAGTTTCAGCTTAGTAAGAAAACGCTTTGCTCGATCACTGTCAAAGTGTAGTCTCATTTTAAGACGCCTGAGCAAAGAGAGGTCACCATAAAGACAAAGTAACCATCAAATCATCAATCAATATATGCTATGCTTCTTTACAAATGGGCCAGCTCAACCGGTGGCTGGCAGTGGTTGGATGAGAAGAGTTGAACATCGAGCTCAACAGGCTGATGATGATGATGATGATGATGATGATGAACTGGAGTGATACCACGGCTTTGAAGAAACCAGGTGTTAAACGACCCTTAAGTTGTGTCTGAATGAGGTTACCGGATGCCTAAGCCCTGAATTCTCAAATCCCTGACCTCCAAAAAGGCAGGCAATGCACTTGAAACTTTTCTGTCGTTGGGGGTGTCCATAGGCGATGTTGATTGCTTATAATCTAGTGATTCGTCTGCTCGTTTTGTTTTTCTATCCCAAAAAAGGACAATGAGATTCTATTTATCTCCTCATCATCAAATTTAAATACAGTTTACGTCTGAAATCGTAATAAATAACGTACATTTTTATTCTTTCTTTCTGTACTTCAATGTAATGGGGCACAGGATTTATAGACGCTAACGTTTCGAAATTGAAACAACACTAGATTAATGAGTTTAATCCAGCGCACAACTCGCTTTGGAAATTACAAACAAATGCAGATATTTTTGAAGTGGGTTTTTTTGCTAGAGTAGGTCAGTATCATTCTTCTTTTATGGATTAAGAGGTAAATGAACAGACGGATCACCTGATGGTAAGTGATCGACACACCCCATGGACACATTGGACACCTGCAGCCCCAGAGGAGTCCTAGGCACGTTGCCGGCCTATTCAAAAGGAGTAAATAAATTATGTAAATATAAGTAAATAAATTATGATTTCAACTAAGTAATTTTATAAATTCCTGATCAAACTGGTCTAAATGACATAATGAAGATTAGTCACCGTAACTACTTATGCATTTTCTCTTTCTCTTTAGATAAAACGTTGCCCCACAGTAGGGTTTTCTGCTGTGTCGTGGTTGCGGTTACAAACATACAATTTCACATACACATCACAC